TTTTAATCCACAATAGTTCAGTGATCTCTAAAGCTACGTAAGAAAAAAGGGGAAAAAAGTTGTCTCTGATCTCAACTGCTTCTCTTCTGCTCTAACTAACACCACCTCATTAAGGGACCTACAAGAAAAAAAACAAACAACAGAGCAGAACATACAGTTCTTGAGACTGGGTCAGCACTGTCGGAGATGCAAGCAGGGACTTGTGGCTATTCCAGGCACAGCAAACGCATCTGTACAGAGATTAATGACTGTATACAAACAACATGTGGAGCAACTTTACTTCTTTCAAAGAACCTGTGTATTTGTTTTGCTAATGCTGTCTCCTCTAGCAAGTCAAAGTCTATAAGTGACACCTCATCATGAAGAGACGCCTTTTCACTAATGGTGTATCACAAGGATCAATTCAGCAACTTTATAGTTAAACATAAGAGCACCACTACAAATCTACAAGCCCCTTGACAGAGAGAAAAATCTGCCAAACACAGTTTCAGTGTACTTTTCCAATACCAATCAAATCAGTATTTGAGACAGAGATATTTCACCTTAATAATCAATGGAACTACTTAAAGGAAATCCACAGACATCAAAAAAGCACTAGGGTTTTTTCATCACTGATTGAAGCAGTAGTTGGGCAAAACTGTCTTAGCATCATCTATAAGTTTCAAGAAGAATGAAATTCCATGCAAAAAACCGTGTTATGAATTCTATGCTGTTAAGGTAGCACTTTTCACAGTATGCAGTAACTCACTCACCTTTTAACGTTGCACTTAGGAGACAATTTTATTACACATATTGAAGGGATTTAATTGCAAAGGTAATGTCAGAATAAGAACTTGAGACAGGACTATTTTATCATCAATGCTTGATAGATATCCATTTGCCCTTCTAACACTATTCAGTGATACAGTCTTCAAAACCCAATTTTACAAGTAGATGATGCAAATTTGTCAATTACAATTTCAGTAAGGTCAGCAATTAAGTCTTTTGGACACTTCTGAAAACATTTTTTCTCTTGCAATGACCAACTGGATTTCAGAAAATAAAGTATAATTTCGCACAGTTTTATTTTGGGGGAGCAATTTTACCAGGAGTCTATAACCAAGTTCAGACATTAAGACTACGATCACATAGAATGAATTAACTACCTTTTCTGGGCTAATGATGCCTGCTCTTAAAGCAGAAAAGTGTAACAAATGAATTCACATCAAGATGAAGCCTACCCATGTATCCCTGGAAAAAAACAAGCTCTACTAGGAGCTTTTCTTTGGGGAGCAAACTGTTCCTTCCTACTGGAAGAGCTAAGAAGACAACAACCGAAATAACTACGAGAAGTCATTTTATTTTTGAAAAATAAAGCCTCTTAAAATCAATCATCAACCATTGCCTACAAAAGGTATCCCAGCAATCTCATACACTCCTTTAAACCAACAGGTGTTCCCTGCACCATGGCTTACCATCCTAAGAAAGGAACAGGCTGCAACACACAGGATGTTCAAAACAGTTTATGTCAAAACTATTTTAAATTCAAACCTGTCTCAAGACACTATGCAAGGAAGGCAGATTGAAGATCATATAAAATTTGTCAGTGTCCCTTTTTTCATTATTTTTTATATTCTTTCAAGAGACTAACAGCTGGTACACTATACTGCTTTCTTGAACTGTGGTTTATCTCTTAGCAATACTTTTCTCTGTCACCACATGCTGAGTCAGAGAAGCAGTGGTAGATGGACACTTCATTGCATGTCATATGAGTTTAAAAACGAAGCCATTTTAGGAAAATATCTATCCAAAAATGAGATCTGTAGGAGGGTAACAAATAAATTCCTGAGTGCCACTTACCTTCTTGTTCTATAAAAGCAAAAAGCTTCTGTAACATGGATTTCTGTAAGGTAATATGAGCATCATCCAGTGATATGAAAAACCACATACTAACTTAGGTGCAGAAAACCAGTCCATGTTCCACTATCCACCACATCCACCCAAGGAGGATATCAGCATATTAAACACGGATGTGTCTAGATCTTTATATAACTTATATGTAAAGTATTCCTTAGATTATGACCTATGCTTTTGTTCTTCAAGATGATTTAGCAAGTAATTTTTCTGTTCCTCTATTGTAATAGGAAACTTCTCAGCAGAGAAAAGCTGATTTAAGACAATAAAATTGGAAAATTTGCTGGTTTAGACAAACTGTTTCAGTAAACATCTAAATTTGTTCATCAATAAACATAAATTAATTTTTCTGCTCAAAGGTGTTTTACAAGCTGATGTCTGGAGAACAGTGAAGTGAAGGGGAAGAGATAAAAAAGAGGCAATTTGTTCAAAATGGAGTGGGTGTGATTCTACAGTCTCACAAAACATTCATCTACCACGTGAATGGCAATGTAAAGGTATTAGCCATATGAAACACTATACTTGTGCCAGATGAAGTGTATCTGTACTCTTCCAGTAAAAAAGAAATTATGTTACACATACCGCTGTTTGTTCCCTTCCGAACACCTATAACCCACTAAAAATAAAAGAAGCCTTAAAATACTAGTAAAAATTATAAAATGCATGATAAAACACACAGACAGTGTCCACACAGGTGACTATTTTCTGCCTCACAAGACAAAAAAATCCAGAAGAAATAAAACCTTCTATAATGAACAGGTAAGTCATTGGCTTCTTAAGACGATCGGCATTAATGCAGGAGAAAAATAAGTATAGCTGTATGAATTTTACAAGGTCATGTGACACTCACGTATACAGACACTCCTCCTTTCCCTCCCACCATCAGTGATTTTCCCCATGAAGAAAAAATAATATCCCACTCTCCCACCTTCATGAAACCCAATGCAGAAACCAGCCTTGCTTGGGAGGCTCCTCACAAACCAGCCTGCCCTCAGCAAGCCGTGCGGCTAAAGCGCTCAAAAGACTTCAGCTTTGATGTTTCCGTGTTCGGGTTTTTGTGATAAAAACAAAACGTTGTAACGAGCAGTCCAAACAAATGTTTCCTTCTGGCAGCAGGATGGAGGATTTGCGCGTTTTGTTCCGCGGTGGGAGCGCTGGGCTCGGCGGTGCCCGTGCGGGGACCCGCTGCCTGCGGCTCCACAGGGTGGAGACTCAGCCAGGCTGACATTGTCTGCATGCCACACACTACATCCCTCGCGCATCCCCGGCTGGCTCCCCAGCCTCTCCCGAGCCATGCCTCTCCCGGGGAAAACGCGAGGGCACACAAACTCCACCAGTCATCACACCGGCACAGCGCGAGCTCTCTGCAAAAAAACCACGCTGGCGTTGCATGGGGTTGCCGGGCACTAGCGCGGGACCGGTGAACGCAGCCCCTTCGCAGCCGGTCTCTCGCCCAGCCCCCGGCGGTGCCCTGGCAAGGAAACGCCGCCGCCGGCTCGCCAGACCGCCCAGCCTCTCACCAGACAAGACTCGAACGCGAACGCGGCCTCCGCTCACTCACCTCGCCCCGGCTCCGGGCAGCCCCCGCGGGCAGCTGCACCGCCCCGCAAGAACAGAGGGGCGAGGCGGCGGGCTCGCTCCCGCTCGCTGCCGGCGGCGGCGGCGCCCGGCCCGCTCCGCCCGCCAACCCCCGCGGCGTGCAGCGACGGCCTCCACGCTTCTGCTGTAGCTGCTCGTCCCGCGGCCACTAATGGTGGCCGCCGATACCGGTTTCCCTCCGCCGCTCCCTATCCTTTCAAACGCTCTTGTTCCGCGAGCCGGAGCCCGCCTCCCCCGGTGGCGAGGCGCGTACCTGCCCGGAGCCGGAGGGAAGACACCCCGGCCCCCGCGCGCCGCTGCGCCCCAGCGCCGCCTGCCCGGCCCCCCGCGCTTCGCCACTTCCGGCGCGCGGGCGCCTCGCCCCCGCCGCCGTCCCGGACCGCCGCCAGCCGGGCGGGCAGCGCCGCGAGCAGCGAGGGCGCGCGGGACCGGCGGGCGCGCGGGGGCGCAGGGCCGGGCCGATCGGGCCTGTGGGGCCGATCCCTGGGGGGAGTCCGTCCCTGGGTGAGCCGATCCCTGGGGAAGCCGATCCCCTGGCTCCGCCCGCCACCGGGCGGCGGCCAGCGCGCCTATCGGGCGGGCCGGTGGCCGCCGCCCCAGGCAGTTGCGGCTGGCGGTCCGTCCGCAGCTGCAGGCGCCGGTGACGCTGCCCATTCCGGTCACCGAGGGGTTCTGTAGGCAGCCAGTTACCGAATCCTGGGAATCCTGCCGAAATCCTCGGTGGTGTGTCCCGCTGTCCCCGGGCCAGCCCCGGACCGCGCCGCCTCGTCCCCGCTGTGCCCCGGCCGGGAGTTGGCCCCTGTTTCTCATCCTACCACAGCTTCAGGGCCGAGATCGCCATTCTTTAAATTGTTCACAAAATGGAATAAAACGCATTGCTCGCTACTGCAAGTAAGGCTATAGGAGAGGAGATTCGCTTAAATACAGTTCATTGCGTGGGCTGCTGGGGCTCCAAGCTCCAGCGCAGGAGAGGTGCCATCCACGCTGCCTCCCGCCGGGAACGTGCCTCTCCCTGTGCTGGAACCGCTGCTGTGTCGTGACAGAACACAGGCATGTTTGTTTGCATCAGGTTTTATCTGTCAGCATCTGACGGGGAGAAAACTTCAGTCGGCTAAAGCACAGCGTTTTCCATAAATGAGAACAATTATGCAAAGTGACGCTAGTTGTTGTATTTCTGTAAATACTAATTTAGTGACGAGGTTACATGCTAGGTCACCGGCAACATGAAGAGGAAGCTTTTAAAATAGGATTTTCATGTGTGCATACAATTAAGTAATTTTAAAGACAAAGTTCACATGTATAATTCTAACATATTTAGCAAAAAGTCTTTGCTATATATATTCACCTTAGCACATAATCACTTCCAAATTCTGGGCAACATAATGAAATGTTGCCAATTAACAACTCCCCAGAGAAGCTGAGATCAAAGTTTCAGATGCAGAAGTATATAAATTCTCAATGTGGACTAAAAATACATGCATTAATCACTAAGAAACAACAGTAGCCTTATGGAGTTGCAAATAAAATATTTTTAATCCAACTATTCCAAATAGTAGACTATTATTGATACATTGCTTCATAATTTGTGCAAGTGGTGCACAATTAAAAAAATGTCTGGACTCACATTATTTAATAAAAGTAATAAGTACTTCAATTTTCAGTGCTGTTCTGCACTTGCTGCATATCAGCAGTGAGAGTGAGCTGGCAGTGACTACGAATCTATGTTATCAGCAGGTTTAGGCCGTGTCTCCAGGTTGTATTAATCCCACCATGCTTTCCTACTGATCCTCCATGACCCTGAAGGGATTAGAATGACAACACCTCCTGAGAAGCAGACTCAAGATGAACGGAGAAATCACAGTGAGTGTACGGGCAATACAAGGAGCAACTTGGGTGTGCCATGGCCAAGTTCCTTCTGTAGCTCTGTGGCAGCTCCAGCTACGTCTAACCCAGCACAGAAGCACTGCCAAGTCACGTTCTGCACCACTGCAGCTCAGGAACTGCACTGCCATGAAGTGTGCAAAGCTTCTTACCCTCAACTACAAAATTCTATCAAAAGGAAGAAGACCCTGCAGCTGACTGAGGCAAACTCTGCTTTTGGCAGCTAGAAATGTTGTTCCTTTATATCGAACTTGCTAAGTTGCTGAGTCTGAGCAGACAATAGTCAACACAGTTAATTTAATGTAGGGGAGAGTCAGAGTCAGACCATTTTAAGCTTGAGGACCAGATTGGATCTGTGTGCATCCTACAGAACCACGATCCAATTATATACATAAGTTACTAATGTAAAATCATCCCCCAGGCCAGGGAAATAGTACATACCTGCAGCAGACATTGTGTAAGGTTTTCAAAGTAGTACAGGGGATTTAGTCATACATCTACCAATAAAATTAATAGCTAATGAATTAATAAAAATAGTGCAGCCTTCTGAGTAGGTTAAAAGGTCGGTTTAAATGTATATCTGCATCCAAATAAGAAAGGATAAAATGAATCATTGTTTTTAATCAAGGCAGTAATTCCATGGCCCTACCGTCTCCCTAAATACTGTCTATGAATCTCAATTTTAAGTATAGCTAGGCGCTGTTGGCAGCAGAGCTTAATTTTGAATACCTAAATGTTTTATTTTTTGTATTGAAATAATTCTGAATAAGAAAACATAAACAAACAAAGGTTATATTGATCATTAGACATTTGTGCCAATTTCCATAAAGGACACACCAGGCAAAGGCTGGAAATATGAGAGTTCAAAATTAAAAAAAGACAAAACAAACCTCCCATTTTGATTGCTTTGTTAGACCTAAGAAAGCTCACTTACTTGTGCAGTGGAAATTTCGTATTTTGGTGAAGACCTATCAGTCAAAACTACATATATGTGCATATATGTATAGGTACATCTCTCTGTATATGCAGCTATCCCATCATAGTTTGATGGAACCTGGAGCGCCTGTGACCCCTGCAAGCTCTAACAGAGCAGTCTGACTCTTTTCACCTGCTTCTTTATCAATTTTTTTGCCAACTACAGTGTTCAAGGTACAAAATCGTTAAAAACCTTTTTCTGTTCATCAATAGCTTGCTCAGCCTATACTGTATCTATTGCTGCTCAGCTCACTATAATGGCATTTCCAAATGGGGGTCACAACAAAGTATTACAGTATTTCTTAGCAACAGGTATAGCACCCATAGCCATTAACATAAATAATTCAGCTCATCCAGCCTATACATTCAAAATGTCTTTTCTCAGATCTTATCTACTGTTCATAAACAAGAATGTCTTGAAGGGGAATCTGACCTTGCAGCAAGTGGTGTAATGACAACAGTAGCCCGTAATAGGAATGCAGACTTGGACAGGAGCTCCTGGGGTTTCAAGCCAGCCAGCATGATCCATAATCCATTGCAGAAACTGCTCATGTTCTGGGTTAGGGCCACTAAGTTTTCCCAGGGCTACTGTTCTTACGGAAGACTGCTACTATTTGTGTGTAGGAACAAGTGCAGAGGAGCACCACGAATGGTGGAGTGAAAACACCATTTTCTGAACTCATTTAATCAGTGTAAATCAGAAAAATCTTGGCTAATTCCAGCTAAAGTACTCCTGAATTACAGTGGGATGACAGCTTTGAATTAAAAGCACATAAAGGCTGTGGATAAAACTATGCACACTCTCTTCTTTATGCACCTTCCCTTCATTCCACCTCTAAGAAATAGAGAAGCATTCATTGTCTTCCCATTTCTCAGGTGATGAGAGAATAAGCCACCCCCAGAGTCAGAAAGGAAACCTTATTCATAGCTAAGATCTGAATTCTGCTCTCATCAGTGCCAAATCAGTCCCTTGCTTGGGAGGAGACTTCATCACAAAATTATTACTGATACCCTTTTTGTGGAAGTACCAGCACTACAGACTAGCAAGTAATCTACCTATAGCATTCATTATCATTATCACTCCTTTTAGTGAAGACTCAAACCATCCCATCACACATCTCAATAAATCAGCATGGCTAACATATGCCAAAAAAACCATTTTTTCTTGACCCTCAAAGCATTCGGCTTATGCTGCTGAAGCAGGAAGCTTGTTTGTCCCCTGCATTGTTGTAATCTAGTGCATACAGCTGCAAATGTTGTCTTTGCTCACAAAGCTTCTTAAATCCTTTTTTAATTCTACTAAACTCTTTGCCTTGGTGACTGCCCATGACAATTGGATTCCATAGACAGAAAATATACTGTGTGAAGTAGTATTGAAAACATATTCTGGGAGGTTTTGCTCTATGAATTGGGGCATAGAGGCTGCAGTTAGCTGACTTCACTAGGCACTTGATGAAGCTTCATCTCATGTGAAGCTCCCCTTGCCTCCATGATCTGTATTACCCTCCATTACTCTTTGTTCCGCACAGCTGATTTTCTGGCTCCTTTTTAGGTCCTCTGAGGAAAATCCTGGCCCTCACGAATGTATCTGAGCACCTGTGCAGCCATGCACGTAAAAATAGGGAAGGAAGAGCACACACAAAGATTAGGATCTTCCAACACACAGGGCACCACAGGGACTCTCTGGACTCCCCTCCCAGGCTGAAGTCAGTAATTGATTTTAATGGGAGCAAGGCTGAGCTAATGCTGGCACTTTGGAAAATCCCACCCAAGGGATTCAGTGATATTGAAAGTGCTCGAGGCAGGTTAACTGCAGGCATTTCCACTAATGGGGAATGGCGCAGTTGTCTTTATTAATTTTCCTTCTCCAAAGTGCAATTAGCATGTATGTATTTTTATTTCTTTAGGAAAAAAATAACATAAAACACTTCTATTTCTAGAGATTCTTACTGAAAGGCAAATAAATTAGTGATTTTCTGCAGCACAGTTACAGGCCTTAAGATCTATAACACCCCCAAGATCTATTAATACTCTCCAGCTGCCCTTCTTTTTCCTACATCTGACTTAATATGATTATGAGGGAAAATAATGTCACTGTGGGTCCCAATCACAGCAGTTGCACTGGCCATTCATAAAGCAAGGTTTTTCATCATCTTCTTGAAGACAGGAGAAACCAATACTTCTCATACTTGATCATACCTTTAAAACCAAGAAAAGAAATCTCAGTGCTGAAGGTGAATTGAAAAATGGCCATTAACATAGGAAAAAAAAAGGTGACGTGAACCGGAATGAGGTGCCAACAACAGCAAGGTAAACAAATGTAAATAAATGCTAATGTGGAGGACATCAGTTTCTGGAGAAGTCACTGCAGGGGTTTAGTGTGGTCTAAAAAAGAGGCCAAAGCTATGGCAACAATTTTGCAAACAACTCTGCAAATAAATACAGCCTTTATCTTTGATTTCTTCGAGTGATGTCTCTGAAAATTATGAGGTCACTCATTCATAAAAATTATGATGTTCTGGTACATAATTCACTTAAAATACACAGTGATTCTTTTCCACGCATTAAATCAAACAACACTAGAATTTGAAGCATAGGAGCAAACATCACACAGCACTCCAAAAACATTAAAAGATACCATTTGCGACAATGAAATGGCAGAGGTTTGGTTATGAACATCACAGGGAAATGACAGAAGTCTACCAGTTTTGCAGTCTTGAGAACCATTGTTTTACATAAAAAAATCAGTTCCACAATATGTTTGAAATACTGCAGGAGGTGAGTGGCAGAGCGGAGTTGGAAAAGAAATTGGGTTGGATTCTACTTGGTACTTCTACTTTGTGACTGAAATTTGTCCTGAAAAGTTCTTCTCTTTTTACAATGACCTTCTTGATATGACTCACTGAGTCTTTACGTATAAAGGCTGTGCCTGATACCAAACTGGAAGAGCCTCAGGACAATCCAGGGGCCAGCCTTAGGCATTTCTCTGGGTCAAGCTGGAAAACACTTCTCAGAAGGTCTTTGGATTTCATGTTATTTATGTTAACATTACAGACTAAGGCATAGAAGAAGCAATAACTAGTCATTTACCTTTCAGATTGCTTTTAACCTATTTTCACTTCCTCTATGACAACATTTCTCATTTTACACTGAAAATGTTCTTTCATCTCACATCACTTCTGAAGTCTTTTGTTACTGAGTTAGAAAAAGAGAATTTCAATGTAAATATTGAAGATGTTGAAAGGTCCTTCCAGACCAAACACCTTATATGCAGTTAATGCTCATTATAGAATAATTACCTGCTAGATATGATTTAATAATTCTTAAAGTGTAGGAGATTTTATCAGTATGCAAAAAAATAGAGTTATCAGTCAAGTTGCTGCCTGAGAGAGAACTGAATTTTGAATCTTCTGCTGCTGCACTGTGAAAATCCAAAAGATTGCATTTATTCCCTTTTTTTTTTTTTACAGAGGGAAATTCAGTCAAACCCATATATTCACTGGCCATAATTGCAGGGGAGAGCTTTGTGTATATGTACTGCAGCAATGTCACATTTTCTGGAGCAGCAGGGATAGACACATCTCTGGTATACTCAGTGATGGTACTGAGTTTGTTCTTCCAGTTACTATTAACGCTTCTTTCCCAAGTATCTGCAGCCACGTCTTGTCCTCAGATCTCATTCTGGAAAGTGACCTGCTCAAGTGGACTCTTTTTTTCATTTCAGGAGCCAGCTGGCACTAATCAAGTTGCAAGACCAGCTAGAAAGTACAGCTTTCTCCAGAAGTTCTGTGTTATTTAACTGTACCTAATGTTTACAGAGCAGAACTATTTTCTTCCTGTCATTTTCGTGCATATGTGAAATATTTGACATGTATCTTGTAAATCATACATTAGGATTTCCTGGAATTTCTGTCTTGACTGCAAAGTGACATTGGCTGGAC